CCTACCAACATTCCATTTTCCATTCTTGAGTTCAGAGTAGAGAAATTGCTTTGGGAGATGGTGGTCGGGCATCCGGACAACGCGGCCGGTCCAGCAGAGTTGATGGTGGAGGACCATCGCTTCAATGCTGGTGGTTTTTGCTTCTTCCAGCACGCTGACATTATTCCTCTTGTCTTCCCAAGAGATTTGCAGGATTTTCTGGGGGCAGCGCTGATGGAATTGTTTCAGGAGTTGCATGTGACGTCTATAGACAGTCCACGTATCACAGACATAAAGCAGGGTTGGGAGGACAATAGCTTTATAAACAAGCACCTTAGTATCCCTACTGATGTCCTGGTCCTCAAATACTCTCTGCTTCATTCGGATAAAAGCTGCACTCGCAGAGCTCAGGCGGTGTTTTATTTCAGTATCAATGTTGACTTTTGTGGAGAGTTGGCTGCCAAAGTAGCGGAAATGATCAACATTTTCTACTGTTATACCATTAAGCTGTATTTCTGGCATTGGAGAGGGATTGGCTGGTGACTGCAGGAAGACCACTTTGGTTTTCTCGATGTTCAATGGCAGGTTGAGCTTCTCATATGCTTCTGTGAAGGTGTTTAGAGTAGCTTGTAGGTCTTCTTCTGAATTTGCACAGATGACATTGTCATCAGCATATTGCAGTTCTATAACAGATGTTGTTGTAACCTTGGTTTTGGCTTTCAGTCTGCTGAGGTTAAATAGCTTGCCATCTGTCTGACAGATGACTTCTACTCCGGTGGAAAGCTTCCCGTCAGCAGTATGAAGTACCTCTAGAAGCCTTGTAGGAACCCAGGTCAAGAAGGGAAGGCATTTCAAGTGGTGGTAGGAATTTATCATGCAAAGATGAAATGACATCACAAGAAGAAGGTAGAGCCTTGTAGGTGATATGATATATCACACTTTATAAATGGATTGCCAATTCAGAATTTTAACACAACTTATTTACAAAAATATTCTCTGGCCCTTTCAGACAGGGCTAAATCCCGAAATGAACTGGGATTGCTGACTTGTTGAATAAACAGCAAATTGGCAAGTCAACAACGACATAAATCAATGGGGTCTGCTCTATTTGGGCTAACAAATGACAAATAACAACTTTAAGCCATTTGTAGTACCTGTTCATGGACAGGTACACCTCAAAAGACATGAAGTGATCCCCTGTTAAATTGCAAATGTAATTGTAATGAAATTATGCATCCCTTATTGCAAGAGAAGGAATTAATTAGAAATAACAACTCATTAATTACATAGATTACTTCCCCCTTATTTGAAAAAAATGCAAGTCATGTGTAACTGGTTACTTCCATGTTTTAAATGAGATGATCTGTGCATGCAAGAACAAACTGTGTCAGAGTTAAAACTGGTCAGAGATTGTAATTTAGTTTAGAGTCAACCCTGCCCCAGCTCTAGAAAATCCTTATTCTTGTCGGTAAACAATTGGAAGTCTTGCCAATTTGCTTACATTACTCAACAGTAGTTGTAAATACATTTGTTTTCCATACATATCTCAGAGAGGATGGGGGTGTGAATAACTGCACAACATTAATGCTGAAGTAGTTAAAAACATATGGATCACTCTAGTCAAATCCTTGTCTAGACAGTGGGCACAGCATCTGTGGGAAGAAGGAAGTGATTTTCCAGCATTAGAACAGATTTGGTCTTGTAATTACTGTAAAAAGAAACATGTACAGAAAAGGTAACTGAGATGCTTGCTGTTGTTTCAGACTGACAACTAAGCACTGTGAATGTAGCTGCTGTGGATTCTGTTCGTCTTTTCTGTCCTGTCCTTGGGTGTATCTGTAGGCTATATAGAAGGCTGTGCTCATGAATTAAATATATCACAAAACACGTTCAACATTTGAAGATATTAAGGAATATATCTATCTTGCATAACTAATTCAACCATTGTTATTGTCTGCATTCAGCTTAAATCCTTCTTCTGGAGATCCAACCACAAGGTTTCCTGGAACAGATTTGTTCAAAGGATGTTTGCCATTGCCTTATGGCATAGAGGGCCCTTCCAGACAGGTCCTAAAAGCGGGATCTGTCTTGGATTTACCTGAAGAATCCAAATGATGCCTCAGGTAAACCCAAATTAATCCAAAGTAAACTAATTAAACCCCTGGAAAGATCTGGACCTTAACATAAGGTCAGGATCTTTTCAGGTGTGGGCCCTGTGGGGATTGACTCCTGGGGCCTCTTCTTCTCCTAGATTATGAAGGAGCGGCATGACTCCCTGCCCCCCATTTAGCCCCAAAACATACCTGAGGGGCCTGGCTACATGCTCAGGCCCCTCTGTCTAGAGTTCCTGACAGGGTTTGAGGTGGGTGTGTGGACTAAGGTTCCTTATCCCAGATTATCTGTTTTAAACTGGATTATATGAGTCTCCTCTGCCAGATAATCTGGGATAAGTGGATAATCTGGGATCAGATCCTGGGATATCAGAGCAGTTGGAAGGGACCTAAATCCTATGAGGAATTGGGATATAAAATCCCAGTTCATCCCGGGATTTAGCCATGTCTGAAAGGCCAGAGAGAGTGATGTGCCCAAGGTTACCCAGTTATTTCAATGGTCATCTTTATGGACTCTAGTCCAACTGTTCTACGCTCCAGCCACCAAATGTACCAAGAATCAGGTAGCTAACATACAAGTAGTTTATTCAGTTCTGGCGAGTAACAGGATATCGAGTAGGATGAAGGGAGAATCAGGAAGGTGGTCATTAACCAGTCCAAGAGTTGTTCAGCATCTGAGTAGTCCAGTTAAATAAAGCCATCAAGAAGTAAATCATAGCCACTCCAAGAAAACATGAATGCCAAAGAGACTCAAGGAGGAAGGTGGAAAGCAACAATGAATATGTGGTTTGATGAAATAATGCTCTTTAACCCACATCATTTACTTATTTTAAGTGAACAGACAGAGCCATTTACAAATGTAGAAGTCTTGCTCAGTTGTTTTTTCCTGTATGTCTTCAGTGAATGACAAGGCTGTAAGATCTCAGTGTGATAAGAAAATTCTGTCAATAGTGTGTTTCAGAGAAGAAAAGAAACTCATTATTCTGTCAGGCCTTGGGCTTGTTGTCTTTGATTCTACCATGATCCACCCTCCTTTCACTTCTGATTAGGAGCTATTTCACTATATATCTGCCTTTCTCCCTGGGCTTGTCTATACTGACAAAAATATATTTGGCACTGCATTTTCCCAATCTGCATTGACCCCATTAATGCCACATATACCACACACATCATAGTAAAATCATCATAACCAGCCAGATATTTCCCTTTGGTAAACCTATCTTGCTGTGAGCAGGTGGTCTACGTTTCCAATACTTTAAATTATTTTGGTCACATCGCCATGACCACTCCATCTTCCCACCCATCATGCATATGAATATATATATATATATACAGTATATTCTGGCGTATAAGACTACTTTTTAACCCAAGAAAATCTTCTCAAAAGGCAGGGGTCGTCTTATACACGGGTGTAGTCTTATGCATGGGGGTCATCTTAACTCTATATTTTAACTGGAAAAGTTGGGGGTCGTCTTATACGCCCAGTCGTCTTATATGCCGGAATATACGGTATATATATATATATATATTCCATTAAGTGGGGGTTCACTTATACTGATATACTGATATTCAAGTATTCTCGCACAAACACCTTGTTGTTGTTGTTGTTGTTGTTGTTGTTGTTTATTCGTTCAGTCGCTTCCGACTCTTTGTGACCTCATGGACCAGTACATGCCAGAGCTCCCTGTCGACTGTCACCACCCCCAGCTTCTTCACAGTCAAGCCAGTTACTTAAAGAATACCATCCATCCATCTTGCCCTTGGTTGGCCCCTCTTTCTTTTTCCTTCCATTTCCCCCAGCATCAATGTCTTCTCTAAGCTTTCCTGTCTTCTCATGATGTGGCCAAAGTACTTCATCTTTGCCTCTAATATCCTTCTCTATAATGAGCAGTCGGGCTTTATTTCCTGAAGTATGGACTGGTTGGATTTTCTTGCAGACCAAGGCACTTTCAGAATTTTCCTCCAACATCACAGTTCAGAAGTGTCTATCTTCCTTCGCTAAACCTTCCTTATGATTCAGCTCTCACATCCATAGGTTGCTTTGACTATGCAGATCTTCGTTGCCAGTGTGATGTCTCTATACTATTTTATCAAGATTGGTCATTGCTCTCCTCCCAAGAAATAAATGTCTTCTGATGTCCTGGCTGCAGTCTGTGTCTGCAGTAATCTTTGAACCTAAGTCTGTCACTGCTTCCCTCTATTTGCCAGTTATCAATCAGTCTGGTTGCCATAATCTTGGAGTTTTTTTTTAAATTTTCTTAGAAAAATTAAATTTCAGTTTGAAAAAGAACCACTTCCTGGCATGAATGATCACCTCCCATCAACCAGAGCTGCCCACTATTAGCTCCTCTCCACAACTCCATATCAAATCAATTCTGCCTGGAAGGCTGGGCACAAGCTACCATACAATCCCTGCCTCCACAAATTTTTCTGTAAAGCTACAGGTAGAAACCAAGATTTTTGAAACCAGATTAAAATCTGAAAAATTCCCCTGTGAATAAATAATTAAGAACATCAGTGTCAAGACTGCAGTGCCTATATAGAGAGTACAGGTTTTTTCCTACAGCATGTACAAGCTTTCTGTCTCTTGAACAAAAGTCTCAGATAAGAACCTTCTCTTTGTTTACCTCTCCTCTTGCCAAAAAGTATTTTGAAACCAAGAGGAAAACATATGAACTCAAGGCAAGCATTTGGGTAGTTCTCAATCCATCTTTAACTTGTTCCTTAACAAGGCACCTAGAAATTGAAAACCAGCTAAAATATTAAAGTTTCAAGGATGAAAGATTAATGCCGCCTCAGCCCAATAGATATCATTGCTGCCTGAACGTAAAATCTTCTGCCAGCAGGAGGTTAAGGATGGGTAGTGTGGGGGGTGAAATATGCAGCAGCCCAAATTGATATGCTGACAAAAGGAGCTCTGCATTTAGAGACACCGATTCTAACCAATCAGGCTAAATACAATCCGTAGTCCCGGGGCCTTATCTTCCTAGATAACCCTCATTAATCCAGTGAGTTTCTGAGGACAACAAGAAGAAATGAATTGTTTCATTTGTGTCGCTTGAATGGAATGCTAATGAGGAGAGGTGGAGGGAAAAAAAGTTAATTATTCATGCCAGCCGGCTGAGAAGAAGGCAGATCCTGGCTTCCCCTGTTACCATTGCAACAAGTGATTGTGTTGGCCTAGTGAGCGCAAAGCGAGGAAAGCCGTTTGTTACTAAGACAGACAAGAAGAGATGCCTTCTCAGGAAAGGAAACCTGTCTTCTTGAGCTGCATCACACATAGCCAGGTGGACCTAAGAAGAGCCTGCAGCCAAGAAAGAAAGTCCTTCGTATCTCAGATTTGCTTCATGATTAACCACTCCTCCTGGGGGAAACCGTGTTGCCTTGGTAAGTTTTGTACGAGTTCTTGAGGCTTTTCGCTTCAGTAGCTGAACACTGGTTTTGAGTGAGTTTGTGTTTCGGTTCGTGCAACATTTGATGAACTTTCGAAAAGACAAGTAGATGCTGTCATGGTTGGTTTCTGCATTTAGAACAGGCTTTAACAGAGCAATCTTGGGAAAGCTTGTGGAGAGAGAAGTCTCACTGAATTTAATGAAACATTATTCCCAGGCAATTGCGTACATTTGCAAAATATAGAAACCCAAGTCTTGAGATTCATCATTCTTTTGACCATTTTAATGAAGTAAAACTGAACTACTAAAAGTATGCATTATTTTTCTCCTTATTAACTGAACTCTCACAAGAAATTCGTAAGGCTTTTTATTTATTGTTTTTGTATTGCATTGTATGTATTTAATTTTATGATTTTGAAAAAAACAACAACTTGTAGTCATTCTGTCATTCGTGTAGGGAAGTAGAAATAAATGTTTACTGTAAGGGACAACAAAGTGGTACCAAGAAAAAGAACAATTTAATATACAAGCCAAAATTATGTGAAACTATTGTAAATTGGAGACAATTGGAATTGATTGTGATATCAGAATTAACCCAAATTGGTATTTGGGTTTTGTAAGAGAATTTTGTATATATTTTCATCTTGTGTGTGTATCTGCAATAAGTTATGCAATTGCGGGTAGAATCTAGTGTTTACCACCAAACATGTCACTCTACTTATAGGAATATATTTCATGCAGTCTAATAATTGCTTTCCAGAAGAATTATATTACAAGACACATGTTCTGCTATACATCATTTGAAAGCAATGTTAATAAGAAAATCTATTTTCCAATGACAAAAAAGACAGATGCTGTGTCTATGAGACACAAAACAGTGGGGGAGTGGTGTTAGGCATCTATCTCCATTAGTCACAGGCTTTTGTGGGGGGAAACCCTCTTGAAAGTTTTGATTTGTTAGTCAACACTGGTGAAAATGTTAACATTTTCCCATATGCCTTGTGAGAGCAAAGACAAGCATCTCAACATGTAAATAATGGGCTTGTATTAATTCAGTGCAGCTCACATGCCAACTTGCAAAATAGATTTTGCCCCATTAAAGAAAAAGACTATAATAAATAACTTTCCAGACAAGAAAATAAATTGAAGGAGGCTTAATTTTCTTTTCTGAAAACAGTGTTAGCATGCACCTTTCTTAACATTTAGTTACATTTTCTCAAACTTTCTGATCCATGACAGCCTTCATTTTTGTGCCACGAGACCATTTTTTAGAAGTACAGCTGTGTATAAGAAAAAAACCAACTAATATTAGTGTATTGAAATAACATGAAATAATTTACAGCAGGGTACTATTAGCGAAACATTGCTAAAGTATGGGTACAACCATTATTTTCCATGACTGATTTTGGCTTTTTGGTGACTCATATCATACAAGTCAAAACTGGAACTCAGTAGCTATGCAGTTTAGGCTTGAAGCAAGCTGTTCAAGCTGTAATCATAATACTTGAATGGATTTCATTGGTCTTTTTGGCAAAGTGCCTCTTTCACTTTGTTCTCTTTCATATTATCCTCTGTACAGTATAAGGCAGATAAAAAGAGCTTGTAATATATGAGCTCTGTCTGCAACATCTACAAAAAGAACATAACATAGTGATGAGCAGACAATAAAGAGTGCTCGTACTTGACAGCAGGAGAATGTCACTTCTCACCAATCAAGATGAAGATCTCCCATTATTGTAGGCTACAGTCTACAATAAATAGAAAGTCCCACTGAATTCACAGATTCCTTTGTGAGTCAACCCGTGTAAGATTCCGTTGTTGGGATCATGCTTTTGATCAAATAATCATCAGCCTATAATACTATACAAATTCCATGCAAGTAAAAGTATAAAATAAGAAATGTAAATTATTTGACTCTGCATAATATCCGTTGACTTTGCCTGAATCTCCAGTTTTCTGGTTACATGAGAATATTTTGGACATTGCAGTTGAATTCTTAGGATTTTATCACATGAGACAGGTAAGCATTCCAACTGAACTGTCTCCTTTGGTGCTGTTTTCGATCACATGATGCTATGTGTATTCTGCTACCGGTTTGCCTCCCCCTGCCCCCATGATTTTCCATCCTGGCTACCGATGGGTACAACCCATCAATAGATCCATATCCCTACTCCTCTGCCTTCCCATTCCCATTACTTTATTTATTTATTTATTTATTTATTATTTATTTATTTGGAACATTTGTACCCCCTCCTTAGGATAGCTACCAACAGGCAACAATTCCATGCTGAAACAATAAAACACATGACAAAATACAATCAAATGCCTAAAAACTAAATATCAATATACATTAAAACGTCATCCAATTCCATCCAAATTGCGATCCAATAAAATCTCATCATTGCCAGTAAAATCAATCTAATCTGCAAACACTTGCTCCCACAACCAGGATTTAAGTTTCTTCCTGAAGGTCAGAAGGGAGGGGGCAGATCTAACTGCCTTAGGGAGGGAGTTCCACAGCCGAGGGGCTATCATGGAGAAGACCCTGTCGCTCGTCCCCACCAAACGCGATGGCGATGGTGGTGGGACCGAGACCGATTATCTTAAATTCCTTGATGGTTTGAGGGGGAGACACATTTGAACAGGTAAACTGGGAGACACGTTCAGATAGGTACCTGTCTTAATATGATGGATCCCTTCCACTTCTTTGCTGGCATGCTAGCATTAACATGATGTGTCAGGAGGCAGGATTATCCTCCTTTCCCCCTTCTCCACCTTTCCCTTCATTATTCCCAAACCTGCTGTTTATATAATATATATATATATATATACACACACACACACTCAAGTATACGCCGATCTGAAAATAAGCCAAGGCACTTAATTTTACCACAAAAAACTGGGAAAATGGATTGACTTGAGGATAAGCTGAGGGTGGGAAATGCAGCAGCTACTGGTAAATTTCAAAAGAAAGATGCCAATAAAATTACATTAATTGAGGCATCAGTAGGTTAAATGTTTTGAAATATTTTCATAAAATTGTAATTTAAGATAAGACTGCCCAACTCCATGAAGTCATACCAGCCACATGACCATGGAGGTGTCTACGGACAATGCTGGCTCTTCAGCTTAGAAATGGAGATAAGCACTGCCCCCTAGATTCGGACACGACTAGACTTAATGTCAAGGGAAAACCTTTACCTTTACCTAACAATAATAAATTGAGTAAAATAATAAATATAATAACAACAACAATAATAAAGTAAAATAAGAGATGTAATAATAAGAAAAATAGAGTAAAATAATAAATGTAATAATAATAATAAGGTAAAATAATAAATGTAATAATAAAAATAGTAATAACAGAGTAAAATAGTAAATAACCTTGTCTCAAGTATAAGCCAATGGGAACATTTTCAGCCTAAAAAATGGCTGAAAAACTAGTCTTATACTCCAGTATATACAGTATATCCTTGTCTTTTTGTTTTAAATGCTGAAACTGTGAAAATGTGCTTTTAAAAAATTATAAAAATTAAAGGAACCACAGTAGTGCGGTAAAGTGGGCTTACAAAGGTGTACAGAAGTATGGCAAGTCAGTGAAATTGCATGACTGAAGAGATGCTCAATATCCTATATATCCAATATCTACTCTAATGCCACTGTAGTGGAAGAATGGGTTGGTGTGGTAATATCATGATGCCAGGGCTCTGCCATTATTCCAGCAGAAATGAACCAAACAAACTCCCAGTTTGTGTTAAATAATTCAATTAAAACAGCACTCATTTTTGGCTGTTTTAATAGTCCAAAACATAAAACATAAAACTCAGCCACAGAATATAAAACAAAAACTGACAGCAAACACTGTTGCAGGTTCAAGATAACACTGTAGTCAAAAGGTCCGGTCCAGTGGTCAAACTTCGAGTGCTCAATAAGCAAAATCCAGGGATCAAGAGTCTATTCCGTAGTCAAAAGCCAGTCCAGAGATTCAAGGTTCCATGGTACCAAGAGTACAGCAGACAGGTCAGGATACCGAAAATCCACAAACCTGGGGGGAAAATCATCAGCATCTACCACCAAAATAAGACAAATACTTTTCTCCCAAAGATCAGCCCCAAGGCTAGCTCCTTATATCTAGAAACACCCAGCTGCAACCTATCTCTTGCATACCTTCACCCTTAATTGCTTTCACCCATTAACTCTTACGTACAGATTACTCAACCCTTTAGAATTAAGACTTACATTAACCTTTCCATCACCAACTACCATCAACTACCGAACCTGATACATGACAGGTAAAGTCCTTAGTGTATCAGTTCCTTTGACATCTGTAGGCACCCCTAGGGCTGCATTATACAATATTAGATTTAGGTTTGTCAACACTGTACAGATGGGATGAGTAGTTAAATCTCACTGTTTCCCAGTACAGAAACATTTTTGTATAACTACCTGTGGAAATACTGTCCAACACATGTCTTTGCAAAACATCATTCCATAAGTAATTCTTGCTTTTGTAATATTCACATCATTCTTTAAGCAAGCTATACTTACCTGTTCCTTGGAAAAAGGAAACAAAGCTCCTCTGGAGATCCACCTCCTTGTTTTTGTGTGTGCATTCAGAAAACAGTACTCTATGTATCTGCTTGTATCATGACATTATGGTAAACATGTGAACTTTGAATGCTCAGCAGCCACACTCACATCTGTGCCACTTTGTTTCCCAGACTTGGCAAACTGATGATCCTGCTGTGAGTGTTTGGCCATCAGTAGTGATGGCACAGCTGTAGGTTCATTCTATTGTAATTGCATTACAGATATTGAATCCTTTCCTATCTTTGTTTAATGCCATCCTTCTGGCAATGGGCAGAGGTCAATTATCCATGCTGATTTTATTAGATATTTTAGTAGCCTTTCATTGGGCTGATCATGAGGTTTTATTGAAATGCCTGTGGCTTCTTGCAAAAGATAATGAGGTTGCTCGTGATTCCTTTCTGGTAG